ATGAGAGCAGTGTGGGAGTAGGGATAAGGACGCGAGAGATAGGTGTGTGGCCGTAGCAGACCTCGATGGGAGGAGAGGGAGGCGAACCGAGAGAGAAGAGGAGAGGAGTGCAAGATCAGGCGAAGGAGAGAGCAGTGAGAGAGAGGAGGAATGTGTAGAGGAAAGTGAGTGATATGGCTGAGACGCAGGAGGAGAGGATTGCTGTAGAGTGGAACGAGAGATAGAGATGAGAGGATGTGTGAGAGAAGAGAGAGAGAGAGAGAGAAGGGGCGGAGAGAGTAGACGCGCACGCAGAGACGAGAGGAGAGAGAGAGAGAGAGAGAGAGCGAGAGAGAGAGAGAGAGAAGAAAGAAAGAAAGAAAGCATAGAAAGAAGAAAGAAGAGACAGAGACGAGCGAGAGAGAGAGTTAACTGATCATCGGGAGGACGGAAATGCAGCCACCTAGAAGGCCATCCATGATCCTCACTTTAAAAAATAGATAAAAACAAAATAAAAACAATAAAAAACATCTGCACAAAACACGCCATACATAGCAATAAAAAGCAGATGTTTTGACTCTGTAGACAGAATCGAGTTTTGCGTGGCACCAAACGCCGTCCACCGAGGCTCTATCTTGACCTGAATGCTCCTTCCATTAAGACAGGAATTCCTACAACTGCTCCGAAATTTACACTCACAATACAGCGGCATATGGGAATTCTGTTGACAGCTTGTGACTTTGTCGTGAATTCTCCGTGTACAATGAGAGGAACGGGTGACCTGCTGTGGAAAAAAAGAGAGAAAAAAGAAAGAAAAGAAAAAAAATGGATGATGAGAATGAAATGCGGGTGATGTAGATGGAAATATTCTGTCCTGGTGTGATTTCGGCGTATCTGCAGTGACTGGCTGACAAGGTCGTGTGATTTATAACGTTGTTATAGAAATAAAGGAAGTAGAGAGAGAGAAGCAGAGAGAGAGAAGAGAGAGACGAAGAGAGACGAGAGAGAGAGAGACAGAGAGAGCAGAGAGGAGAGAGAGAAGAGAGAAAGGAGTGTGATTGGAGGACTCTGTATGTGTGTGTGTTGGCGAAGAGAGAGGAGAGATTGTGAGAGTATGTAGAAGGTGAGGTGATACAGATGCGCAGGCGTGGTGATAGGTGTCTGTGTGTGGTGAGATATGGGTATGAGAGAGAGGGAGAAAGTGTAGATAGGGGAGAGAGAGGTGTGTGCACGGGAGAGTATAGTGTGTGTGTTGGGTTGTGTGGTGGTAGCACGCGTGTAAGATGTTGTGTAGGAGTATAGTGAGTATGTGTCGCAGAGTATGTGCACGCGGAGCACGACGGTAGATGACGCAGACGTGAGAAGCGTGAGAGAGAAGAGAGAGGAGAGAGAGAGAGAGAGAGAGAGAGAGAGAGAGAGAGGAGAGAGTAGAGAGAGAGAAAAATGAGAGAGAGAGAAAAGAGAGAGAAGAGAAGGAGAGAGAGAGAAAGAGAGGAGAGAGAGAGAGAGAGAGAGAGAAGAGAGGAGAGAGAGAGGAGAGAGAGAGCGAGAGAGGAGAGAGAAGGAGAGAGCAAGGAGAGAGAGAGAGAGAGAGAGAGAGAGAGAGAGGAAGAGAGAGAGAAAGGAGAGAGAGGAAAGGAGAGAGAGAGAGAGAGAGAGAGAGAGGAGAGAGAGAGAGTAATGGCAATAGGAAGGAGAGAGAAGAGAGTGAGAAAGTAGAGAGCAGCAGAGAGGGAGAGGAGCGCAGCACGCGCGCGCGACGCAGCGAGTAGAGAGGGGATAAGGGAGAGAAGTGTGTGTGTCGAGAGACGAGAGAGGAGAGAAGAGACAGAGAGAGAGAGCAGAGAGAGAGAAGAGAGAGAGAGAGCAGAGAGAGAGAGAGAGAGAGAGATAGAGAGAGCGATAGGAGATAAATCGGAGTTGTATCTTTAAACGTAGTGTGGAGTATGTGGTGTTTGAGAGAAAAAAAAAATAATATAATATGTATATATATGCATATATTTACTCTCTCTCCTTCTCTCTTCTCGCTCTCTATCTCTCTTCTCTCATCTCTTTCTCCCCTCTTTCTCTCCTTCTCTCTCGCATCTCTCTCTCTTTCTCCTCCTCTTTCTTCTCTCGCTCTCCGTCTCCTTCTCTCTCTCTCCTTCTCTCTCTCGGGTCCTCTCTTCTCGTCTCAGGAGGCTCTTTACTCTCTCTCTCTCTCTCTCTCTCGTCCTCGCTCTCTCATCTCTCCGTCTCTTCAGTGCGCACTCACTCTTCTCGCGCATCACACCACGTCGGCAAGCTTCTGACCGACGATCTCTAGTTCTCAGCGATCGAGTTGGTAGCACACTAGTCAATCGTTCTGCAATCGCTCCCGCCCAATCTGTAGCAAAGCTCGTAAGTAGTCAGCCAGTCCAGCACTGATCCAAGCTCGCTCCAGAGGTGTTCTATGAGGATGAATCCAGCTGTTTCGCGACTAACAACTCTGGGATATGCAGCTAGATCAGAGTCCTCGTGTAGTTACAATGGATCGATAATTCTCCTCCTCTATTCGCATGTGTTCTCCCGTAGATCTGCGAACGAATTCTTCCTCTCGTGGGTCATAAAAACGGATGAGTGTATTTTGAAGGAAAGGCCCCTCTTGTACTTTTTTTTGTCTTCGTTAAGAATCCGTCATCAAGCTCTCTTTCTTTTCCCCCACTAATCTTCTTCCTTCTCTTGCTCTCGTTTAGTCTCTTTTCTCGCCGAACGTCGGTCTTCCTCTCATCGCCTATTTTCCGGCGTGCCAGATCCCTCGCGTCTCTCCGCTCCTCTACTCTCCCTCTTCTGCTCTCTCTCGCCTTCTCCTCCCTATGTAATCTCCTCGGTAGGGGCTTCGGGGGCGCGGAGCCCTTCGCGGGGCTGAGTGGCCGTATCATCTCGTCTCCTTCTCTTTTCTCACAGAAGTAGAAGCGTCACCAATCGTCTCTTTTCTCCTCTTCTTTCCAGGCTTTCCCTCTCAGCTTCTCCCTACTCAAAGTCTATAAACTTCTTATTCTCTCAGCCGACCAGTTCGATGTTGTATCTTCCTTCCTCCCTCTCCCCGCTTCTCTTGGGACTCTCCCTTACTCCATCTGCTCTCTCCCCATCCTCTACTTCCTCCTTGCATATCTCAACGCTCTTCTCGTTCTCTATTGTCATTCTCCTCTTCCTTCTTTGCTTGGCACCCTCTCTCGTTCCTTACTCAACTCTCAGTTCTCGTCTGAGCTCCGTTGCTCCTCCATTCGTTCACTCGCGACTCCTTCTTCCCCATGCACTTTGTCTGCCCCCGTCCTCTGCTCTTTTCCCCTCGTCATCATTGACTCTAAGCATCTTCATCGCTATTTCCCATCCCCGTCTATCTCGGGCTCCTCACTCTTCTCTTCCCTCTGCTCCTGATCTCTTGCTCACTCCTTCCAGTACTCCGCTCTCTCTTTTGTCCTCTTCTCTCACTCTCTCACGCCTGTCTTTCGTTCCTCTCCGTCCCTATCTTTCACCCATCCTTCGCCCCCCGCGCCTGCTCTCCCACCCATCCTTTTCACTCAACCACCTCGATTCTCTATATACTATATACGTAATATATTATAATATATTAATATAAGTATATCTATTTATATATATATATATTATCTATTTATATATATATAATTATATATGTAGCTAATTAAAATACATTCATATATATATAAATATATATAATATATATGAAATTATAGTACATTCATATATAATATATTATATATAAAATATGATATATATATATAGTATACTATTATTATAATA